CCTCCTCTCTCTCTCTCTCTCTCTCTCTCTTTCTCTCTTTTGCACATATATTCCGCATTCTCACCTCTCTCCTTTTGCTCTTTATACTTTATTTCTTACACGTTATCTAACTACCATTACACATATTTTTAGCTAGAAACAAAAATCCTCTTGAGATTTAATTCCCAATTTACTTTTAATTTTATACTACAGAATAAATACTTACTTCCATGCATGTAATGTCTTCTGTATGACCGATGTAGTGCCGTTGTGCGTTCTCTTCTCGATCAAAAAGAATGGCTACGGCCGCAACATAGTATAACAATTCGCCACTGGGTAAAACCCAAAGATTTCTACGAGTATCGGTTCCCCGATAACCATAGACCCATTCGAGCTGCAGTTTTTTCTCTGGCGGCAAATTGTCGATCGGTGGTAAATGGGTAGGAGGATAAAATGACCGTCTAAGTCCTCTAATCGTCACCCTAGCTGGTTCATCGCGTAACACTTCCACAACACTATAATCTATCAAAAATATGATTTATTTATTAGTTTAATAATCTAAAAAATTAAACTATAAGAAAATATGTAAAAAAAATATATTTGATGTTATAAACAAATACGCTTATTAAATACATATTCTAGGTAAAGTACAGAAGAGTTAAATAGTTAACAAATATCGGCGACTAATAAAGAAGTTCTATAAAAACACATGAAGATTGATTATATTGTTGTGTACCCTGAATTACAAGCCGTTTATCTTTGCCGCGTTGTTATGGCAAAATTGATTAGCAAACTATTTGTTAGTTTGTAAAAGAGTTGCAATAAATTAAATGTCATGTGTTAATATTACCATAGAAACTAACTAATGTTTACTGTCAGAATTATGCTAGCTGTCAGGTTGTGCGGACGCGTATTTGATAGCTCCGACATATTGTATTTTTTTCCTCGTTACGTTTGTGTTATTCAGTGTTTAACAATTAAAATGTTTGACTATTAAATTGTGTTTGACTATTAAAGTGTTCAGTTCTTTGTGCGTGTTTTGATAAATATTGTTCGGGCGATCTCAGGCTGTCAATTTTAATACTCGAACACAACAATATGTTAAGTATTTTTTACCGTTTACTCGAACAATTTCGGAGTCTGGTGCATACAAGGCTCGAGGTCTGCTTTTACTGCGAGCCCTTCTTTGTCGACTAACTTCTTCCACTACAGTGGATGGACCACGTGATCTTGATCTTCGTACTGGGGATGTTGTAGCACCACCAGCTATACTAAGAGCTGATCCAGTACCTAAATAAAATGTATCCACATCCGCGAATTCGTTCCTTAACTGCGAGAAACTTCTGACCTAATAACAAAATGAATAAAGCAATTTTTTACTCGAAATTGAATACCAAGAAAATAGGATACTGAGGAAATCAAATATGAAAGTATCTAACAAAGAAGATAGCTAACAAGTTTGACAATCTGACAATTCCAAAAAATCTGAAACTTTGCAGAAATATAGTGGTATATACATGTGAACCCAATCATAAAGCTATTTTTGGTAAAATTGTCGAACAGGGGACCATCCGATGACTCTTGATCTTCATATATGTTTTTAATATTATTATCTAACTTAAAAATTATAATTTTGGCTTAAATTATTCAAATAAATTAATGAAAACAAGCTACAGAGCCCAAGCTGGATTTACGTGCTAAGTTTATTTACATCTTATAACAACCATTGTTTTTTTGATCAATTATAACAAATTATAAAGATCTAAAGTAAGATCTACAGTTTGCCATGTCCACTCAAACGATACGGACAACCAAATTTCATTTAAAGCAAACTGACTCTGTACACTGGTTTTAGTTTTTAGTAATTTAAAATAAGAAAGTTAAATACACGAAAACACAACATGATGTTACTGCTATGCATTGAGAATAATTGCAATCAACCACAATGTCTCAAGTCTAAAAGGTACATCGCGTATGTTAATAATGTAAAACACGACATCGTTTTCCTTCCTGATAATTTAAGGATTGCTGTTTATTAGAAGGGACATGACTTTCAAGAGATGTTTTCCATCTAAACAATTTTAAAAGTAACGAATTTAAAAAGATTATTGTAATATATTCCGAATTTTAGTTTTAAAAGTAACGAATGTAAGAAGATTTATTGTGTGTAATATGCTCCGAATTTTATAATTAATGTAACTACTGAAGATGACCACAACCAAATGGTCGAAACGTTTAGATCCTTATAATTTGTTATAATTGATCAAAAAACAATGGTTGTTATAAGATGTAAATAAACTAAGCACGTAAATCCAGCTTGGGCTCTGTAGCTTGTTTTTATTAATTTATTATTATCTAAACTATACATATTTACACACACACACACACACGCACACACACATACACACACACGCACGCGCGTATAAATGTAAATATGTATATGTATATGTAAATATGTAAATAGGAGATATAACTTCATCATTGTCGGTCTCAAATCCGAATGAAAAAAAGGAGAGCATCTCGTTATTTAATAATTTTTCAAATAAGACAATTTTTAATTTGCTACCAATTATCAATATTTATATTCGATATGAATCGAATCTAGAAATACAAAATGATTCGCAAAGAAGATTAGTTGGAAAGCAATAATTGATGTATTATCGTAGTTTGAAGTTTTCATGTGTGTTTTTCGTAAAATTTTTAATTTGTTTTATAACAAATGTTATAATGAAAAATGTAATCTAATTAACGTTTTGCGATGCAAAATTACTTGCATTTGGCGTTTGATGCAATTTTGAATTAATTTTTAAATTATTGAATCATAATTGACAGCGATTTTGTAACGATGCAAATAAGGATTTTATTCGTTTTATTTCAATGTACCCATTTTTCCTTGAGTATGGCATTATTATAATGATAATTTTCGGTTTCTACGAAGAAAAATACATAAGAAAATGTAGAAATAAAAGGATCCCCAAGCAGTCACGAAATCCCTTAAAAGTTGTACCCTCCTTTATTGAATTTATTATTGAATATATCATTGAATTTATTATTGTATGTGATTTTCTGACACCATGTACATTTAATAGAACATATTTTTAGTAGATTTGTTTATTTAAATTATGGTAAATTGAATGCGTGAGCGGGAGAGAGGCTCCCCGAAGGTTAGAGACAGAATGATATCTGAATTAAGAAAAATGTATGCAAATATGGTAAGAGGCTATATAAATTGCTATTTAGCACTTTGTGAAGTATGTCATAAGAAACAAAAACATCTGAAAAAAAGAACTGACGGTTAAACTTCTCCTTTTCAAATTGTTAATAAACTGTTTCATTATAAACTCTCGTATTTGTTCACATTGTCACATCCATTTCATAATGCTTCCTATATCCCAGAAAGTCAAAATTAATATTGCTTAGCTCAGTCGAAATTAACATTGCTTAGCTCAATCAGGTAAACTTAAGATTGCCTAGGTCATGTATGAACTGGAATATTAATATTCGGACATTGTTTAAATCGCTTTAGGCAATCTTAAGGTTGTCTAAATTATTTCCTTGCAAAGGCTAAAATAAAGTTTTATTTCGAACATTGTATAAAACGTTCTTGACAATTTTAACTTTGCCTAGGCAATCTTAGGATTGCCAATCCTTTGGGTTTTGATGGTAACATATAGAATAACTTATAGAGTGTTCCAAACCTATTGTAACACCCATTTATAACAGATTTCTGAGATCATTTGGAGATGAAAATCTTAATGCCAAATTGTTGAGATTGCAACAGTTTTTAAATAGCGTTTAAAGTTGACCAATCAGGTTATTAATCTTTTCAGTACGGACGTATTTGGTGGACGTTAGCCATGAGTTGCGTTCTAATAGCCGAGAGTATGAACCGCAAGAGCGCTACGGCGTGGCAATTGCTGACGTCTTACTAATAATTTTATGTTATGTTATTATTAATTGCAATATATTATGTTATGTTATTATTAATTTGTTTTAAAATCCCTATTTACTAGCAAAAAATAAAAGAAAAATATTAAAATAATTTTTATAATACACGCAGTTTATTAATTTAAATCAGTACTCGGAATTACTTTAGCTTTTTAGACGATTCTCGCGGCATACGCCTTCTTTCTTCTTCTTGCCACACACGCCGCAGCCGCTAGGGCTAGCGCCGCCGAGCGTTAGGAGCGGCGCTATCCGATTAATGTTGGGTTCTTCTTCCTTGATCATTCAAAGTTAAAGAAATTTATTAAAAATATTTTTTTGTTTTTAAATTTATTATGTGGAAATATTTCAATAGATTCCCACGTCACCCATGATACTACTGCTGACGCGTTTTTTTTTTAAATGGATAGTGGATTAATCAGATAGCGCCGCTGGCTCTAGTGGCTGAGGCGCACGCGGTAAGGAGAGGAAAGGAGGCATGTACCGCGAGAATCGGCTGAAAAGCTGAAGTAATTCCGAGCACTGATTTAAATAATTACAAATTAATGAAAATTAATTTAGTAGTAAAATTTAGTATGATATAATTCAAAACTAGGTAAGATGAAGAGGACTATTATATATTATCGGTACTAGTAATACATGTAACGTTTTTTGGTTAATAGTACTTTCTAAGAATTTCTTTAATTAATTGTACATGAAATTTGCCAATGGACAACTTTGTTTTGGTTTTATATTTATACAAGCAATATGCATTTCATATTGAAATATTTAATAAGTAAAAAAAATATTTCTTTTTTGTACTTGTAAATTTGAGACTTTTTCTTGTTAACTGTACTTATTATCATATCCATTTTATCGGCAGCGCCCATTGATTTATTATAATCAAGAACACATGTAGGCAGTGATGTGAACTCGAGCCAACCGGTATATAGTATTATTTTATACATTATATGTATATATATATATACTCTTCGGAGAGTTTGATGAAAGTGAGTCCCCTTGTCCATGTAAATCCGACCGTGCGACTTCCACGCGGTACATCTTGGATAATGCTAACGCCGGCGGTACTTAAATTTTGAAGTCTCATAACTCAGGAAGGTCTCAACTAAAAAGGATTTGTAACCAGTGTTTCGAAAACGCCTTGACGTCAGCTACAAGCATATGAAATAAAAAGTAAGGGTTCCCATTTAAAAATCTAAGTCGACCTTGACATGACCTTCATGACGCCATTCAAGGTCAATCGCATATGGCATTTTTTTAAATAACCACTTCCCTCGTTTTTAAATGGGGTATACGAGTGATCTGAAACACCCGGTATATACAGGGTATAATCAATTGGTATAAAGAAAACACATAGTTGCTTTTAAGAAAAAATATGTAATTTGCAACATGCAACTGCATACTTTTTTTTAAAACCAATAGTGTTTTCTTTATTTTTATTTGTCTCATTATTTTGTGCATAAAAGTTTAAGGTAAGATTCCCGAAAATTGAATGTTTTACAGATATTTTGTATTTTATGTCAAATGCTGTAACTTCAGCCTCTAACTCGAAAAGTCTTAATGAAAAATAACTTTATTATAGTTTTGAAAAGCTCTTGACACTAGCTATTAGATTTTGAAATCAAAAATAGAGTGTTCTATTTAAAAAAACAAAGTTGACCTCCATATGACCTTGGCATGTACCCTAGGTTAAACCAATGTCATCATCGGATGTCCCCCTTCAAACCCAACAACTTTGGTCTAAATCATTTTTCTTGAAAATGTCTCTCTGAAAAGTTATTTACGTGGGGTTTTTAAAATGAGACACCCTGTATACAGGATTTTTTATTTTAATCTAGCCAGGCAAATATTTCAAACGCTGTTGAGTTTAGAGAAAAATGTTTCAGACAAAAGTTGTAGGGTTTGGAGGGGGACACAAGATGGTGGGCTTGAGTTTTTGATGAAGGTAAAATTGAAGGTCATATGAAGGTCAACTTTGTTTTGTTAAATGGAACACCCTATTTTTGATTCCAAAATCTATAGCTGGTGTCAAGAG